TATCATGTTCTTTGTTCAATATGCTTTGTACCTGAAAGGACAGTCTCTTTTAATATTTCCACAGGTTAGTTCTACTACATTTTTCAAAGATAGTGTTTATTTTGCTGGAGGGGAGAGGATGGCTGATTTTAAATCTAGGAAGAACTTACTGCTTTATGGCTTTTCCATTATTGAAACAGGTACTGTCTCTTCCAGATTGCCCGAAACACAGCTACTTCATAAATAAAGATACAGAAAATCCTGATTTTACTGGGGCAGTGGTTGCGGAAATTCCATTCATATATCCAAAATATGTTCCTGATATGATTCAAATTATCTGGCATCAAACAGCGTATAATACCCTCATTAGCAGTCGTGTATCTGAGAAGACAGAATGTGAAAGTAACGTTTTTGCAGCCTTTTCACTTGTCTCCTTTTGAATAGGATAGTGTTTGGCTGTGTTTCTATTAATGCTTATGGCAGAAAAGCTGATCTTTATCCATTTACTGTAAAGTTTGTAGATAATAATTGGGACCATGTTTATGTTTAAAATTATCTACTTTTTCACATTACTTTGCAGGCAAAACTAGATCTCTCAATGCCTGAAGATTGAAATTATTCTGTTTTCTAGCTCCTTGGTATTATAACTCTTTCAGCCATGTATTTTCAAGTTCCTTTCTGAGGTGATAGATATTAATAGCTATATAGCATATTAGTGTATTGTAGTTGTTACAGTTTTTTCAAACAGTAAAATATTAGAATTAGAAGGGGTATCAAGTCCAAGTCCTGCTCCATGCAGAAATCAAAATTAAAACATCTCTGACAGATGCTGTAGCATCCACTAGAATATATCTAGTGAAGGGAAGCCCATCACCTCTCTGAGTAATTGCTGTCAAAATGCTGTTACTGTTAGGAATTCTTTTTTCTAACATTAAGTTAGAATCTGCTTTCCCTTAATGTAAGTCTGTTATTCCATATACTGCACTCCTGGATGACAGGCAAGATTTTGACTGCATGATATCCTTTCAGATATTTGAAGAATGCTATCATTATTCCCCACCTCCACCCCACCATAGTATTTTCTTCTCAAAGCTAAGCATTCTTACTGCCTTGAACATCTTTTCACAGACTTTCCTGCAATAAAATATACAATATGTTGGAACAATGAAAACTTTCATGCATAAGACTAAACTGTTACCAAATATCTTTTCATACCTGGACTTGACAAACCTTGTACTTTAACACAGTGCAGAAGGGCAAAACTATTTTTTAAAGTTTGAATTATATTCTTGACATGATATTCTGCTTGCACTCTTTCATTACCTATATGGAACAGACAGAACCTAAATAATTGAAAGGCTGCTTGGGTAGACAAGGGCTCTTCAGAATCCTTTTTACCACAGCGTTCCTCATGTCCCCAGAAAGCCAATAGTGGTAAACCATCTGATAGAACAAGGAAGAAAAAAGATGAAGTCCCATGGACACATGAAACCTCTATAGATATAGACATTGAATTCCAGCTGATGTTAGTGCTTAAATTTTAACTTTGAAGAAAGAGGGAAAATGGAAATGCTGTTTCAGGAAATAATCTGCAGTTCCATTAAACACACAATTAAAAAAAAAACATGCTTACTAAGCAGACATTCTTGATACTTGGTATAACTGCTCTTTAAGTTTTGAATCTATTTCTGAAAGTTAGTAGATATAGTTGGACAGCATCTGATTTTAAAAATTAGTTGTATTTCAACTTCAGGCTGACATAACAAGGAGCAGCGAGCAGAGGGAACAGGGGAGAAGGGCAGGGGGCAGTCTTGAGATCAGTACTTTTTGTTTCTGATCAGTTAAACAAAGGTCTTTTTTTTTTTTTTGAGTCAGAATCCTTTTGAGGTTAATGCAGATGGAACTTATTAACTGACATCAATGGAACCAAAATCCCAAAAGTGCAAACTCTTTTCTCACTGTGACTCCCTCAAATTGTAACCTCTTCATTGGAAATTGGGTTACTAAATTAGGAACACCTAGCCAGTTTCTTGAGCAACTTATAAAAACTATTCTGTGGTGCTGCCATAACAGGTTATGTGATTTTTGAAATATGCCTACTAGGCAAAAAAATGCCAACTTTGAAAAATATTATTCTGGAATAAACAATCCACAAAGATATGGGTAACCTCTTACAATTCTTCTCTTTCCTTATGTTTCTCGATAGAAAAAAGATGTAGGAACTACCAAGCAGAATGAAAGAATCATATTGGGATAGGACTTTAATCATTCAGGCCAATCTTCGCTAGAAAATGTAAAATGTTACAGGAATCACAATTTTGCTTTCATCTACCAGAGAATCTTGAGGATTTCTTGAACATTGTAAACATATGCAGGCACTTTGAATATCAGTTTAGTTTATTTGAAATTGGTAGTAAATGCTGGAAATCGTAAGAACATTTTATTAGTGAATTATAAATTATTCAGAATTTTACTTCTAGTCTCTGCCTCTACAGATGCATGTCTGTCCCAGTTCTCATGAGATCAATTTTCAGGAAAATAGCAAAACAAAAAGCTAATGGAGCAATGGAGAATATAGAATCTTTGAAGAACAATGAAGACATACAAGCTGAGGACAGCCTACAGCATTAGGATTGGCTTTATAAAATGTTGGAATTTTATTAGAAGTCTTTTGAGTAATGCAGAACAATCTTTCATTTGCTTGTAAACATTATTAGACAAAAAGGTAAAATAACCTGTAGCTGATCTTAAAATGTAGATCTTAAAAGAAATTACACATATATAGAGTAATGTAATGGGATGCAGATCTCAGTGAAGTGAGATAGCTGACAATTAGATACTGCTTCTGCAAAATATACCATGGATTTCTCGTAACAATGAAAATAATTTGTCCCTTTTTGCATGGATATATAGACTGTATTCATTAATCCTTTAATCCTATGCTGTGATAATCAGTTTTTCTAGCCATATACTGGTCAAGGTAATGGTCTATTTTTATTATTTTTCTATGAATTTTGTTGCTTTTTTATGCTTGGAGAAACTTGGCCATTTTTATTGGAGCAATAGACTAAAAAGTTAGCATTTATTTGTTTTTTAAATTAGTGGCTTTCCAAAATCTTGCTTAGCTCCTGAAAGGATACGACTTGAACTCTGAGCTATAACATGGGTATCTTGGCAACAGCTTCTCTTTACAAATCAGTACTCTTGAAAGTGACCTATAGGTTAAGTATTCAGAGTAAAACAGAAGTAAATTAGACAAAGGAGAGTTTCAAGAAAAAAGGAAAAAGAAAATTTAATTACTGTATCTATGAATCATAAGGCCTTATATATAGATATGAAGCCTTTCAACCATGATATTTTGCGTTTGTGGTATAAACGCATAGTTACCTTATATTATCTCTGTTGTTTTAAACTTGGTTTTCTTTTACTATGTTTTCATTCTGTTTTTAACTGCTAGCTGCTCAGAGTCATGTATATGAGATGGGTGGCCATATATATTTATTAAACAAATAAATAAAGCAAGCATGACAGGTTTAAACCACAACCATTTATTTCCTACCGTGGATCCGAGTATATAGTCTACACTACTGTTTCAAGAACTGTACAGGCAGCTTAGTATGCATGTAATAGCAAATGCTGTATATTCACATGTTCATACAGCATTATAAAAATTGCTTAAACTTGTTTTTGTAAAATTTAAGTAGAAACTGTAACCTAGGGAATCTCTAGTTAAAATGCTTCAGGTACATCTGAAGATCTTCTGAATGAGTCTGATTTGCACTTCAGGAAAACAGAGTTCTATAAAAGACAATCTATGCCAGGAGCCTTTAGAGAAACATTAGTAGCATGTGCACGATAAAATAACACAATAGTGTATATGCACAATAAAATGAACATTTCATGAGAAAGGATGACAGAAGTCTAGCTTAGCAACCACAGTACTTTCATGTTCCTTTTTGATCATGACTCTGCACTAATTGCGTCAAGTTCCATTTTTTCAAATGGAATTAAGGACCAGAAAAGATTAAGTATTACATGTTTTTTATATTCAGCTTGCCAATTTAATAAAACAAATAGAATCAGTTGGACAGAAATAGAACAGAAACATCAATATTTTTTAAGAACATGGTTTTAAAATTTCATGACTCAAAAGGATATTGAAGTCTTCAATATATTTTAAAATTGAATTATGATTGCCATTTGCATGGTTTGCAACTGGCCTGTGACAAGCAGAGTTAATAGAGAAGGCAGAAATAAAATCATAAGTCGTGGTCATGTGATGTTTCACTTAGCGACCAAAGGATAAGTAAAATTGTAAGTCTGTCATGGTCATGTGATTTTCTGCTTAGCAACCATGGTGCTTAGCAATGGAATTGCCAGTCCCAATTGTGGCTGCTAAGGACTACCTGTAGATTTTTCTATCAGCAGTGCAGTATTTTTATAAAGTCATACAACATATTACTTTTCTGTGAAAAAAAATGGGGGTAGAGGTGAGAAAGTGAAATTTCCATAAAGTTGAAGCAATATTAAATATGTCACTAACACCTATGCTGAATAGGTGCTAATCCTAACAAAGTTGTTTGCATGCTTGTTTAAAAAACTATTTAGGTTTAACAGTATGATAAAATGGAACACACTTTTCTAGATACTGAAGAAATGGGAGGGATATTCAAAAAAACATTCTAAGAATGAACATGCAGAATTCACAAAATATAATTCAGTTTCCCTGGACACCCTTCAGATTAACTTTCAATGTTACACACTTGTTCTCATCAGTTAGTATCTACTCTATTTGAGGTATGTATTGCGCACAGCTTATTTTTAATATGAGGTCAGTAACAATGTTAAAATGTATCTTATTTTCAGTTTGACTGATA